AAATGCTTTTTTATAATTTAATAACCATTTCACTAACATAACTGCTTATGAATTGATTTCAAATGTTTTTTTTCCCAAGGATAAATCCTGCAGGTAAGTAATAAATACCAGCAATGTCATATTATAGTCTAATGAGTTCTGAGAAGTTGAAAGCAAACACTCTAAAATTGCATTGCTGGATGCCATCTTCTGGTTTAAGATAGAATTAACAGAGTAAGCAGGACCCATACATCAACATCAGAAATGCCTGCTTGATAGCTATACCAAATTGGGAAGATGGTCTTTGAGGCCTTATCAATCTTTAAAATACAGTGAAGTTTCCCCAGTTCCACATCTCCCAAAAAATGTAATTGGCTAGAAATGAGCTACACGTAGGCAGTCAAGTCCAAAAGTCTAAGAATTCAAATAAATTTGGATTTTTCAGAGCATGAATTGTAGGAGTATGCCCTGATGTAAAAACAAAAAACTGATATTTGAAAACAAATCAGATACATTATTCAATCCAATTTGGAAACTATCCATATATTATAATTTTTATGGCCCTGTACCATATCTAAACTTGGGGTTTTCTTAACATAAGACTTTAATATCTATGTTTTTGTTTGGTTTGCTAAATGAGGACCATATTCCTAATCAGTCAGAAACATAATCTTCATTTTGACTTGATTCATATTATACATGTATTATTTATATCTTGTCTTTATTATTTTTATAAATAACTCAAGTCAGTGTACATACCTAATAGTCCTGCCTCCTCCTATTTTCCTCATAATAATCCTGTGAGGTGGGTTGGACTGAGAGACAGTGACTGGCCTAGGATCACCCAGCCAGTTTTCATTCCTAGTGCAGGTCTAGAACTCTCCTAGTTTCTAGCATGGAAACCCATTTACAAGACCAAACTGGCTCTGGTGTTGGTTCCTACTTATTTGGATCTTGATTAAGAGGTGTGTGAAGAGGAAGGATGTGTTTAGGGCTTCATATCTGTTTCTTTGATCTTTGGTTGTTCCTTTTTTTGTATGTTTATCTAATGTCTCATTTTCAGAGCAAAAACCCTGTAGGATCTTGTTACATTTTGGATCCTACTCTAAAATGTCTACTGTTTTTCCAGGTGAATTCTTTTGTACTTGCCAAGATGTTGTTAAATTTAAGAGTTCTCATCATGTCTTTTTTAGCTGCCAATTGATGTTCTTGGATATAGGACCTGTTTGTCCTACATAGTTGGTTTTCACTGTCCTTTCCTCGTGTTACAAATTATTTCTCTTTTGTGATCTTTGCTTTTGGATATATGAGCTTGCCTAGGATGCTCTGAATAAATTTCATTTGTTTATAGGATACCATAATGCTAAGAAGTTGTAACTACCAACAATATACTACAAATGCGAATTTATTTCCAGGTGGTTAAATGCCTATGGAATGTATGCCTTAGCAGACACATAAATTCAATGTTGTGTAATAGGTGCTTCCTCATCTGTCTACCTCCTTCCACAGTACAGGGTAAGCTTATTAGAATAACAATTAAAATCTTGACACCTCTAATATTTCAAAGCTGCTATATTGCATTTCAAATAATGTGTCAGTAATGCTTTCACACTATCAAGAATACTTGTGTCTCCCTTTGTGGGTATCTTGTTTCCTTATCAGCTGCAAAGCAACACTCTCTTGGGGTCTCCTTTTAGTGTATGCATATACACGGTCAACTTGTCTTTGATCAACTCACTTCACACCTCTTAGCTTTGAAAAATAAAATTGTTTGAGTCCTCAAGGATATCATAGCATTTTAGCAATAAATACTTGCACAGAGTATTTTAAAATGTGTTTTGTCTGTGGAATATTCAAACAATACATTGTGCTCATAGTAAGTCTTATTTTAGACATGGATATTAACCTGGATAAAATTATCTAAGCTGTTTATATGATTTGGTTTCATAATACCCTTGATAAAGGAATTGTCTTAAATGCATTTGGTTTCTTCATAAAAAATTATTTCTTACTGACATTTGAGATACTCCTCTGTGTGTGGGGAGGGAGGGAGAGGGAGAGGGAGAGAGGGAGAGAGGGAGAGAGAGAGAGAGAGAGAGAGAGAGAATAGTTTGAGATGAAAGCATTTGATAAATTGAGATGAAGTGATCAAACTTGAACAATTCTGCTAACAGTGTTGAAAGTTTTTTTAATTAAATGGACACAGAAAAAGATGAAGCCATACTTGTACTATTATTAAGAAATAAATGCTCTGTGTTGGTGATAGAATGCATATAGAAAACAAAAGAAATCATTCACTTTTGGAGATCGATTTAGGATAAGAAAACTTCTAAAGAAATTGTAAAAAACACTTCCAAAAAGTACGTTAAAAATAACAGAGTTCTGCAAGAAGAAATAATGACATTCTTAATCCAGATGCAAAATCTTTCGCACTGAGGAGAATGGGATACTGAATGTTAGGACCCTGTTAGAAGACAGGTAAATAGGTAAGTGTGATGGTATCAGAAACTTGCATCATGAAAAAAGTTTATCTTCTGTATTCTCTTATTTTAGTACAAGCAGACATAAACATAAGATTGTCTCAACATTCTCACAGCATGTTAAAAGTAATTCCTCTCTTCCTCCAAGATACAGTAAATGCTCATGATTTTTCAAGGAATACATGTATAACAGCTTGTTTTGTTAATTATGTTAGCAAACATTAAAAGAATCAAGCAGGAGGTAGAAATCCACTACAGTATATGCATAATAATAGAAAGCTTAAAAAGAGGAAGACAAAAACAGGCCTTTGGACCATTATTTCCTGGAAAATCAAGTGCTATCTAGAAGATAACATTTTTTCCACCTATTCTTGTTCTAGACCATTGATGTTGATGTTATCCATTCAATTATGTCTGACTCTTGGTGAATCTATGAGTCAGGTCTCTCCACATCTTCCAATCTTGCACTACTTCTTTGAGTTGTTCTTAGTTTGGCTTTGATGTCAGCTCTGATGGTGTCCAGCCATCGTTTTCTTTGGTGGCCTGCTTTCCTTTATGGTTAACTTTTCCAGACATAACTGCTTTATCCAGTGAATTCCCTCAGATGACATGGCCAAAATATCTATGACAATTATTACTTTCTAGATTTCTGAAGACTGTGAGTACTGTATTATGAATACAAAAATTATATTCAGTCTTACTAATATCTGAAGACAAAATCACAAAAAATACTTTTATAGCATAAAAGAAGTTGATATACATCTACTTTCCCGACATATTATCAAGAAACGCAGTATAAAACCTCATAAAGCTTTCAACAAAAATGGATAATGATTTATTAAAGACTGAAAACTAGAGGAATCCCAAAATTTCACTACCTTTTGCCTGTTATATTCCAATTTCTTGTGAGGATTGCTGTAAGCCTGTCGTTTTACAAATTGGTAATCTGAAAATTAAGGTTTTACCAATTTAGATATGTACCTATTAAGAAAGGCATTATGATTCAAATGCAGATTTCATACATGTAGTTTCTTTACTAATCTTTGAAACCCACCACATTTGTCTTTTTAGCACAGGTTTGACCTTTCATAGAAATGTTGTGAACTGAATGCAATTGAGTGGCATCAATTTTGTCCTGCTTTCATTTTTCTAAATGTGACAACTTCTGAAAATATGATGAAACTAACTGCAGTTAGACTCATCATTGATTTCTACAGGTTTTTGACATACTCCATTTGCAAGTAACTTCCATCTATCACACACGAATTAGAGATCATCAATAATGTATCAGTAAATAAATAATGCTTATATATTGCAGTTATGACAACAAATTTTATTGTGTCAGAGGTAGCAATCTATGATGTAGTTCTCAGAAAAAATTATACAATTGCATAAATGTGAATTAAATTTTTGCCCTGAATTTTTCAGTTGCTCCTTAAAGCTGAATACTAATCAACATTCATAATTTCTCCTGTAATTATTTTTAAGGGAAAACTATACTACGTAGCAGGTTAATAAGCATATTAAACATTTTAAAACTGTCAGAGAGCGCTGCAATTTCTTCTTCAGACTCTGAAGACTGATTCGGTGAAGTCTACTTGGTGATAATAATACAACAATAATAAAAGATGCCGATGTATTTCAGAAATTTGTTATTGATTTAATCAATTTATTAGTCACTTCAAATGGCAAAGCAACCTTTATTTAGGCTGCATCATTATATAATCTATTCCTTAGACTTCAGCACTGCTTGGATTGCTTTAAATAAGATGACATGTACTCTATTGGGGAAAAAACTAAAGTAAGAAAAACATTAATTTCAAAATTCTAGATTTTTCTAGATTTTCTCCTTTTGCTTGCTTACTCATTCCATTCTTTTTAAAAACATGATTAATATTTTTTTAAAAAAATATGGATTGTGTTGTTTGTGTGTGTGTGTGTGTGTGTGTGTGTGTGTGTGTGTGTGGAGAGAGGGAGAGCATATGCACATTCAACATATTAAAACATTATATCTAGAGGGCCTGAGGACTATAGACCAAGAATGAGGATTTTCCCCCTTGTCTTTTTGCAAGGAAGATTTTTAAACTCTTATTAATGAATTTCTATGACACTGACTTACCGATGTGCCTATTTCTATATATGCAACGTGTCTACTTGCAAGGAATCTTATTTTCAGTTCCCACGAGTTTTTATAAACTTCCTTCCCTCTTTTTCACTTTGTCATTATAGGTAGCTTTGACTGGCCTACACTCTTAGCCCCTTGTTTGGCTGCACTCTCAGCTCTTGCTTTTGTGAGGATATTATAGCCACCTTTCAGCCACCTTAGCTTTCTGGCTGGTGTTTTGGAATTTCCAAGCCACGTACCCATCATGGACAGCTACAGGGACTTTAGCATCTCACGGCCTTTAAATCTTGGGCTGGGAGGGGGGAGGTTTGTTTCCAGCTTTGTCTTCTTGTAGCTTTTCACTCATGTTTAATGGAAGAAAGATGACACTTGAAGTGATGAAACAAAGCATGACAATGTGATGCTTTGAAAATAAATGCAGTTTATATTCACCAATACATAGAAAAATAAAAAGACACATTTTAGTCAAATATTTAAATGTTGTCTAAAAAGATGAAGCTGCATAGTCTGGACCCCCTCTTCGCCCCCCCACCCAGCATACTTGCCATACTAAATGTGTTTTCAACATGTTCATTCCCCGCCCCCCCATGTCCATATAGCATTTCATGAAATCATGTAGCAGCTTCTGAAGAGGAGCCAGGTTTTCTCTTTTTTTGTTTTAGTGTATGTAATTCATTATTGATAACTCTTATGTATGTTCTCAGTTGAATACTGATTTTGCAAAATTTGATGACAACAAATAAAGCTTTCCCCCCTCATTTGCATTCTAGTATATCTTGTGGTGTATTGAATATATCCAAGAACATTAATTTAAAAAGTGTCTGCTGTCATTTGTATAATTAAATGATAGTCAGAATCTCACTTCTCATACAACTGCTTTCTCATTGTTGTTCTAGATTTCAGTCACAAAACATTATTAGGTAGGAAGATACTGTTTTTCTTTCTTTCTCTTCATACATTGTTACTGCTAAGGTCTTTAATGCATAATTGCCAATATAGAGGAACTTGGGAGGAACTGCCCTTGGAAGAAGCTTAAGTACCCCATCAGGTGTGAAATAACATGCAGAGCATTTGAATCTCAACAACAGGAATACACTAAGAAAATGAACGCCATAAAATATTTCTACAAATAATTGTTTTGTAAAGTAATAGTCATTATTCTTTTACTTAATGCCTTTAATATGACATAAATCTGTTGGCTGATTCCAGAAATATACTTCCTCTCATACTTCCCTTCATCCCACCTTCACTCTAGGCAATATTTATATACTCATTCAAATGTGTCATGAAATTTTATACAATGGAACACAAGGAAAGTATGTTGGCTATTTAATTCACTCAAGCCACTGGACTGCCCATTAGCCTCTCATGTCGAAGAGACATCAGCCTTTGGAACCATCTTTCTTCTGCTTCTGCCTTGTCAATATATAACTGTAAGAAAAAGAAGAAAAAAATAAGCATACAGCATAATTAAATAGATAAAAAGTTAAAAAGACCTTAAGATTTGTGAATATCTGAAATCCTTTATTAAATTCATCCCTATAATGCATTACTATCAAGGAATGTATGATGCACTGCAGTGCAATAACAAACTTAAGTGATTTCAATTTCTATCAATTTCTGGTGTTTTCTGAATCAGAAATTCAGAACGTTATTTTTAATGTCAGAAATCAGTACTAGAATATACAACGCATTCACTAAATTTACAGACATTTCTAAAATTCTGTTTTCACTTTGTCATTATGGGTTACTGAGTGTAGATTAGTGAGAGAGAAAAATGAATTTCAATAACTGTAGAATTGGCTGCAGCATAACAAGATTGACAAAAATGAAGGGGGTCTGAATACTTTCTGAATGCACTGTATATTCATAGAACGCCATTGAGCTGCACTAAATAATTGAATTCTTTGCCCAGACATTGAAAGAAATTTGAAATTTGAGATTTTTGTTTTCCAATTATTATCTATACCGTGTATTTCTAAAACTTGTAAATAACACTGTAATGATAAGCAAAAGATGACCACAAAGCTGAACTTTAAGCAGAAAAATTATACAAGAGAACAGGTACATTCTTAAAAATCTTAGAGAGACCTTCATGTCCTTAATTAAAGGTTTTCTATATGAATTAGTGATATCTTTATTATGTCATGCCAGGAATAGTGACTTTTAAATTAAAGAGAAGTACAAATGATCTTATTGGGAATCAGTATGCAATAAGGCCAAACTGGATCCTGTTATCATCAATGAAGTTAAATTATTGATCAATTGTAAAACAGATGTTTCATCTAATAGGGAGTTAACAACTTAAATCCCTGAAAATCCCTGAATTTCCAGAGGGTCTCCTGAAGTACAATCAAAATACCAAGGCAATGAGACTGATAGGAAAATATTAAATATGTAAAAAGCAACCATATCTTCTTTTTTCAATTAAATTCAAATTAAATCAATAATAGTTTTTTTGTCTTAGAACTAGTCACTAGTTGTCTGCTTTCCAGAGTAGAAAGAACAATGACATAGGATTTATTTATTAATTTTACAAATAAATAAATTTTATTCAGCAAGTCTGGATAAAATAACACATCAATAAATAACACAATGTAAATGTCATAAGGCAACAAAGAATTGAAAAAAGGTGATTCCTTGCAAAATTGTATCATAACACAGAACAGAAGGATTGGGGTAACTGCCGGAATCCTGACATCCATCCTTCTGGGGTGACAACAGGGTCTTCAATGCTTCTAGAAAGCCAACCAAGCCAGGACCTCTCAGGTGGAGGGAGTGTTGCTGTTACAGTGGACAGGAACCACAATAGAGAAGGCATCCATGTGTGGTCAACTAGATGGCACTGTTTCATCTTGTTCATTCATGTGGGATGCATGAGTTAAGAGACCTGGGAGCAAGCCTACTATGCCAGATCTGGGGATATGGGATGGACATAAACTATTGGATGTAGGTAGTCTTGCAAGTCACCTGCCCTTGTGGCATGTACTGTAGGACTTTAAAAGTGGTAACCAGAACCTTGAATTACACCCAGAAACTTACTAGGAGGCAACAACATTCATGTGCAAAGACTCATGAGTCATTTACTCCCCAAAATTATATATTCCAGATTTTAATAATGGCAAGATAGAAAATATAAGCAATTTCAAATTTCCGCACATTCAAATGGGGAAAGATAAATCCAGAAGAATCTGATCTTAGATCCCTTAAAGCTTTCAAGGTTTAAGCTTCTATAAACTGAGTCTGGAGATACAGTCAACATTCATAGTCAGTATTATATTAAAATTGCAATGCCTGAAAAGGGCGTTGGTACTTACCTGACGCGCCCATTCTCTTTGAGCTGTGAAGAGCAACCAGTAGTGGGAGGTGCTTCAGTCTCTGCATGTTTAGGCTGGGCTTAATTTGTGGAACGCTCCTCCTCCACCACGGGACACCTCCCCAGTGTTCCCCAATTTTGGTGAAGACGAGAGAAATAAACGCCCTCGTCCTCAATGCCCTAACAATTCGTTGGCCAAAACAGGGCCCCACCAGACGGAAAAAGGGTGGGGCTGGATGCTCTTCACAGCTCAAAGAGAACGGGCATGTCAGGTAAGTACCAACGCCCTTTCTCCCATGAGCTGTTCAGAGCATCCAGTAGTGGGACATACCAAAGCTTGGCCTGTCCTACGGGAGGGACTCCATCTGGCGTGGAATCCCCTCCTGGTCCCTGTGGACCTGTTGCAGAACTCTTCTGCCAAAGGAGGCCTCAGCGGATGCAAACACATTTATTTTATAATGCCTAATGAATGGTGATGGAGAGGCCCAGGTTGCGGCTCGACAAATTTCGGTTATTGGTGCCTGTGTGGCCCACACTGCCGATGTTGCTGCGCTCCTCGTTGAATGAGCTGTTATGCCCTTGGGCCCCTGGGCAGTGATTGAGTCTGATACGCTTTCGCTATCGCGGCCCATAGCCAACGGCCTATTGTAGAAGATGAGACCTTGCATCCCTGAGTGTTGGGCTGAAACGACACAAATAAGGCCTCCGTTTTTCTGAAAGTCGCTGTGCGGTTAATATATATTCGCAATGCTCGCCTCACATCAAACCTATACCATTGTAGTTCCAGCCCTTGGGATGGTCTGGGACAAAAATTAGGAAGTATCAGCTCTTGTGCCCTATGAAAGGCCGAGTTAATTTTGGGTATAAACGTAGGATCAGGACGAAGGACCACCCGGTCAGAATGGAAAACACAAAGATCTTGTCTGATAGACAAAGCTGCAAGTTCCGAAATACGACGAGCAGAAGTGATCGCTATAAGGAAAGCTACTTTATACATCAGAAATTGGAGACTTGACGATTTCAAGGGTTCAAAAGGACCCTTAGTGAGTGCGACAAGGACATTGTTAAGGTCCCAGGTGGGATAACGGTGTACTGCTGGAGGGCGTAAATTTGTGGCTCCTTGAAAGAAATTCCATATGTGTGGGTGATGGGAAAGAGATAGTAGACCTTCACAAGTGAGAACTGACGCTAAGGCCGCCACCTGTCTTTTCAACGTATTAGGTGATAATCCCTTGTCAAGTCCCTCTTGCAAGAACTCTAGGATTTGAGCCACAGATGAAGAGATGGGATAAATTCGCGACTTGGTATACCATTTGCAGAAACTGGACCATGTGGCATTGTAAATGCGAGTTGTTGAGGGGCATCTGGCGGCTTGGATGGTGGCGATAACTCTGTTGGAAAACTTTTCGCTCTTCAGACGACTCCGCTCAACCTCCAGACGGTCAGGTGCAACCATTGAGGGTCCGGATGTTGGAGGGGTCCCTGGGTTAGCAAGACCCTGTCTGGCGGAATTCTCCATGGTGTTGATACGGATAAACTGTGGAGGTCTGCAAACCACGGCCGTCTGGGCCAGTAAGGAGCTACTAGAAGCAGCTCTGCCCTCTCATCTAGCAGTTTCTGGATGACCTTGGGAAGCAGTGGAAGTGGCGGGAATGCATACAGAAGACCCGGGGGCCGACGACAGCGGAGCGAATTGAAATTCTCCTCTCCTTGCGAGGGGTACCTGGAAAAAAATCTCAGGAGCTGAGCATTGAGGGGGGAAGCGAACAGGTCTACCACCGGCTGTCCAAATGTCCTGACCGCCTCTTGAAACAGGGTCGGATGGAGGCGCCACTCCGATTGATTGATCATGGCCCTGCTTAGCCAGTCTGCTTGTGTATTTGACAGGCCCAAAATGTGCTCTTCTCTGATGGAAAGTAGGTTGCTCTCCGCCCAACGACACAAGCGCTCCACTTCCCGCATGAGATGTTTCGACTGTGTGCCCCCATTTGTTTATGTGAGCTTTGGCTGTTATGATGTCGGTCAATATTAGTATGTGCTGATTGCATACCTGTGGAAGGAAGCTGTGGAGAGCCAGGTGTACTGCTCGAAGCTCCAGCCAGTTTATTCTGCACGACTGTTCTATGGTGGACCAGCAGCCTTGGGTTGTGAGCGATTGAACGTGCGCTCCCCATTCAAACAGGCTGGCATCGGTGGCGATGGTAAGTCTGTGTGGCTCTTTGAAGAGGCAGCCTCTGTTGATGACTGGTCTGGTCCACCAGAGGAGAGATATGAGGACCTTTGATGGTACCTTGACCTTGTATTTGGCATTGCTTCGGCCGGAGCGCTGGTACGGGAGCAGGAACCACTGGAGGGATCTAGTGTGGAGCCAGGCCCAAGGGATGATAGATATACATGAGATCATCTTGCCTAACAATTTTGATAGTTCCGCTAGAGATACCCTCTTAAGACCCCTGATCTTCTTAACTAATTGCTGAATGCTGTTTAGTCTATCTGGTGACAGGTAAACTTTGCCTTCCACCGTATCTATGGCTGCCCCCAGATGGGTTAACCAAGTCGATGGTGTTAAATGACTCTTTTTCCAATTTATTGAGAACCCGTGTTGTTGTAGGGATTGTAATGCGTTCTGAGTATCTCTGACTGCTTGATGATCGGAAGCTGACAAAATCAAGATGTCATCAAGATAACACTGGAGTTGTACAGGGATATCACGGAGATGAGCAGCTAAGTGCTGCAAGAACCTTCGTGAAGGTCCTGGGGGAAGAAGCTAGTCCAAAAGGAAGGGCTACATATTCGAAATGGTGGTTATTATAACAGAATCTCAGAAATTTATAGTGGGAAGGCCGAATAGCAATGTGTAGGTACGCCTCTGTCAGCTCTATGGACGTAAGGACGTCACCTTTTCTAATGCAAAGTAAGATAGATTGCAGGGTGTGCATTTTAAACTTGCGATTTACTAAGAAATGGTTGAGACGTTTCAGATCCAATATTGCTCTCCACCCCCACCCCCCCTGAATTTTTGGGAACAACAAAAAGATGTGAATAGAAACCCCGTCCTCGTTGGTTGGTGGCTACTGGTTGGATGGCTCGTATGTCCAGTAGGTGTTGGATAGCTGTTTCCATGAGATTACGTTTAACCGGATCTCTGGACAGAGGGCATGACATGAAAAAATCTGGGGGAGTGGATTGAAACTCCAGCGCAAGGCCAAATCTGATCGTGTCTCTGACCCAGGAATCAGAGGTTGAGGAGTCCCATTGGTCCGCGAATAATTTAAGACGTCTGCCAATGGGGGTCGGGTCCAGGGAGTTCTCTTGGATGCCGAAAGAACCTGTTTCCTGCTCCCTGAAAGGATCTCTTGGATTGACCACCCCTTCTGCTCCTATCCCTGAAGTCGGACCTGTCTGGCTGCTGCCCTGGTCTGAATGATGGGGGTCTCTGGTATCTGGGTGAAAAGGGTCCCTGGTAAAAGGACCGAAAGGATCCCCTCTGAAAGGACTGAGGGTTTCTAGAATCTGACTTCCGAAAAAGGGAAGGAAGAATTTTCTTTTTGTTTCGGGTTTCAATTAGTAGCGGATCAAGGGAAGGGCCAAACAGTCTGTCCCCCACAATAGGAGATGAAGCCAGCTTGCATTTGTGCTTAAAGTCCACTTGCCAATGTTTTAACCATAGTAAGCGTCGCGCTGTGACATGTGACGTAATGGCCCTGGCTGAAAACGTGACTGCATGATAAATTGCGTCAGCTGAGAATTCAGCGGCTGCTATAAGTTTAGCAATATCTTGGTGCGCTCTAAGGTTGGAATTAGGGACATGTTCCCGTAAGAGGCGGAACCATCTGAGAGAAGAATGGGTAAAGGAGGCAGCCGTGGCTGCTCTGATGGCCCACGCGTCAGACTGATGGGCTCTGCGTAGGGCTAGCTTGGCTCGTTATTCCTCCGGCTTTAATGCCTCCAGAGCTTCACTGGGAATGGAGGAGGATGCTAATCCCACTATAAGTTCATCTACCTCGGGAGTATTCAACAATTTTGAGAAATCAGGGGCCAAATTGAAATATTTCCTGTCATATCCAGTGGGGGCTGGGTACACCGCTGCAGAGGACCACTGTTTCTGTACCAGGTCCAAAAACGGGAGGAACTGGGATCACCTCTGCCTTGACTTGGTTGAATATTAGATCTTCTGGTCCCTCTTCTGAAGGAGCTGGAGTGATAGTAGGGGTCGAGTTGTTTAGGCGTGCAATGTTTTTTGCCTTAAACAAGAGAGATCTGAAAAGTTGTGGGCGGAATAAGCCTGTAAATACAGGTTGGTCAGGAACAAGGCCCTCATCCTCAGACATTCCCCTTTCTAAGGGGTCTGCTTCTGACAGGGGCTTGCTGTCATGTATTGATCCTGATTCAATCTGTTCCATTTGATCAATTTGATCCACTTCTTCCTCCTCCTCCTCCTCCTCCTCGGTCGGCCCTTGGAGGGGGACTTCCCCTTGTAAATGTACCTGGGTATAGTGCTGCTCCGACCTGGTCAACGATCTCAGCAATTGGGAATCATATTCAGCAATCACAGGATGTTCCCTGGTCAGAACTGTGTGTTGAAGACCTGCTGCGATTCCCTGGCAGATTGCCAGCTCCATCCAGGCCTTCATCCTCTCTGGAACTTCCTCTGGAAGAATGTCGTCCTGACGAAGACCGGCAGATGTCGGAGTGAATGTAGCTTCGGGAGCCCTTCGCGTGGTCGGTGTCCCAGGTACTTGGGCCTGTTGGCTTTGGGGAGCCAAGCTGCGCCTGAATGAGAGGGAAAGATCTAGGGGAGGAAGAGGGTGGGAAGAGGTAGACGGACCTGGACTGGAGGAGGGAAAGTCCTGTGAGACCTTGTGCGCCTCCCATGTGCACTTATCTGTTTTTGTAAAGTTTTATGGCGCCTGATGGCATCCCTTTCTGAAGTTTTAGAATTCCCTTTAGCCTGCTTAGGTTTGTGCTGAGATTTGGCTTTGACCTTCAAGGATGAGGTCTGAGAGCTGCTACCGTCTGCCATTTTGATTGAAGTATGAAATTGGAATTGCAGTATGCTTGTTATACAATGCAATACTGTGAAGGCGGTTGGCACGCCCAGGGGCCTGATCTGAGGACAGACCGGTTGCCCTGATGATGCTTTTATTGCCCCCTCTTTTTTAAAAAAATAATACCTATCTATAATGTGTCGTATCTCAGTAATAATATTTTATTGATATTAAAATATTATACCGAATAGATGATGTTGATGATGATGATGATGATATTGTATAACCACTAATGTATGTATGTATGTATGTATGTATGTATGTGTGTATGTATGTATGTATATATATATATATATATCTATATATATATATATATATATGGCTATATGTATATGAATATTAATTAAATGGCACGACGCTAAATGCTGAGAAACCAAACAGCCAAATTGAGAATGCCTAAAGGCCCAGATTGATAAAGGTAGAGGCCTTCAACAGCTTCCCTGCACAGGTGGACACAGGCGTAGGTGCTCGCTGTTGTGCCGCTGGGTTGATTGGGCTGTGAGGGTTAAGCCAACAATTTAAATGTAGGAATAGCCTCAAATGTAGAATAAAAGCAAGACGAGGGTATAATGATCCCAAGTGTTCCTGAAGGAAACCTCTGCTCGGGACAGAGTTACCTCACACAGCACGAAATGGAATATAGTCAGCGCGGCTACGAGGTCTTCGTTAGAAAAGATGGCCTCCTGCCGTTAATCTTTTGGCGCGCTCCCCAGCAACAAACTCCCGCCATGTGAAGGAATAGCCTCCGATGGCTCTTCCTATAAGGCTAAAGGGCGGGAAAGGGTGGAAGGCACTAAGCGTTTGAATCTTCCACCCCAAGTGGCGTTCAGAGGGGGAAGGAAAGCGATACGACTCCGTTGTGAGCAAAGAGCTCACGCTGCTGTTCGGGTAAAAGAAACTCTGCGTCTATCTGTCAGAATGGCAGGGGTAGAAAAAGCAGTTGTGGGGAGGGGGGCGCGGAGCAGCGCCAAAGCCTCCCGCCGCTTTGGGGCACGAATTGGCGCTTCCCTGTAATGCGAGCAATCCCCGACTGCCCGATGTTAAGGAGTCAGCATCGAGAGATAGCAATGCGATTAGAAGGCTAAAAAATTCTAAAGACAAGCTGATAAACTTTCAAACCTGCTAGCAAGGAAAGAATTTTTCCTGTTTCGGCCAAGGAAGAATCACAAGCACTGCCTATCTCTCACGAGGCTGAGCCAAAACTGGGGAACGCTGGGGAGGAGTCCCGTGGAGGAGGAGGAGCGTTCCACAAATTAAACCCAGCCTAGACGTGCAGAGACTGAAGCACCTCCCACTACTGGATGCTCTGAACAGCTCATGGGAGAATCACTGTTTTACCGGTAACTGATTTTGCAGCCATGTGTGAGTCTACCTGCAGTATCCAGACATAATTTAAATGTGTTTTATTGAAATGACCATAATGTTATTTAATCTGAAAAAAAAGTAAAAAAAGTTTTGAAAAATAATCTTCCTTATATCTGAACATAGCAATTGGACTTCATATTATTGCTCATGCTATAAATTTAGTCAGGGTTTTATGGAAGTTCTTGAGTATTATTTTTAAAAAGGCAAACAAATAGACATGTGGATAAACAGATTATATAACCTCATCTCCTACACTCTTTACAAGTTATTTTAATCAAAGACTGCCATAATCAGCAAACTTACATTGGGATGGCAAAGCGAGTTTTCATCTTGGTATTTGATAGTAGTAGGAATAATTCCAGGCTTTACTTCTTTTTCAGTAACAGCAACACCAATGTTTGTCACTTCTATAATTCCTGGTTCACTTTTGATATCAGCAGATTCTGTGACCTAAATGTATTCACAAAACAATCTTTATAGACAAACTAATTCTGCTATGAATCATTTGAGAATACCTCTGCCTTGTAGCAGACCTGCTGAACTTTTAAAAAATTAACCTGCTGAATCATCAGTTGCCATTTCTCTTTTGTGGTTTTGATCTTTTTGTCCCCCAAGAAGACTTTATATTGTGTTTTTTTAAAAATATAATTGATTAACAGTTGAAGCTCTTCAGTAGATGTGAAGGGCATCTGGCTACGACATCTGTCATCCCATTGATCACCAGAATTGAAATAAAAGTAAATAATATATAGGAGTACCTCATGCATGTATATATGTATCTAGAGTTTTACCCAAACAATTCAATAAAGGATGTGAGAAAGCAAGGGACTGCATGATGTCTGAAAAAACTATGTCAAATAATGTGTGAAGAAAAGAACAGGAATTTCTTTTTCATTTTAACTTGGTTAATATGAAATTGTACTCTCGAGATAGTTCTGAACTGGGGACAAATTCTGGGATATTTCACAGCTGGAAAAGGAAAATCAACTCTTCGGCACATAAAATTAACCCTGTGTTTGTCTGAAAAATATATTTTGTTGCAAAATATAAAGTACATTTGTCGCATTTAAATACAGTGTCATATAATAAGTGGAATCTGTACTTGATTTTAAAATGGCCAGGGATTAGGATTACTACGGTACTAGTAATACTGGTATAAACAATCAATGTCAATGATAGTTGCATTAATATACAGTTTCACCACAGGATTTACAAGAATCCTATGCAAATAAAAAAATATATTGAAAAATTACCTTTTTGACTTCTTTGCTTGATCTGAATGTCTGTGGAATAAAAGAGTCACTTTCAATTGCTTCAATTTCTTTGACTCGTTTTACTTGCTCAACAAGACTGGCTTGATCTATGAAAAAAGGTACAATGTCAATATTGTTCACCATCACTTTAAATATTGTACTGTGCAATATATTCCTAATGTATTTCTTCTGCTAAGAAAACAGAAATGTCGAACATAAGCAATGGTGCTTCCAATGAGATTCTATTTGTAACTGACCAAGAAAACAACCATTTACATAAAACACACACAAGGTGACCTGCTAACTTCCCAATTAAATTTTATTAGTTTTAATGCCATCTCTCCTCTGAACAAAATTAATTGGTTTGGAAGAGGAAGAAAACACATCTTCCAAGCCAAAGTAGGGGATATGTTGTTACCTGTTGTGTCTAAAAGTGTCTGTATTAATACTGTATTCATGTACATTATTTTAATATTCTTATGCAACTTTTAAAATGAGTGTCCCCAATATTTTTGCAATTGGGAAACATTTGAAGAATTCCAGGGTAGAATATATGACATACATATGTTCGGTACAGATAGAAATGAAATAATAAGGGCAAATAAAATATACTGAGTGCAACAACAAGATGCATCAGAATATATTCATAGAATGAAAATGTTGAAAGGGACAATTTAGACCAACAAATCCAATTCTATACCAAATAGTATAGGAATTCCATTTACAGCATGTACTCTGATATACATGAGAATCCCAAAGAGAATTTATGAGAAAAAGCTTCTTCAGATGACAGGGGAACCTAAGGGTGTGAGACAGTTGGTGAATTAGGAAAGGTCAATGCATAGCCTAAGGGTGTGTGGTTGAGAAAGAAGCTATGATTCATCATCTAGTCATCTCTTAAGCATTTTTCTTAAAAAATATCAGAATACCAAAAACTCCTTAATGTGTTGAGTTGATATGGGGCTAAGCAACTCAATTATTCTAGAGTAGTTCATTATTGATTCATATAAACAATGTATGCTAATTTACTGATAAGTAGATTGAATTGTTCAGAATATAAGTTTAAAGCTGCACTTTGTCAAATAATGGAAGAAATATTAACAAACTCCTTCCCACGCTATCATATTCTACAGCTGAAATATATTTGGCACTAACAGTTCTAAGCTATTAAATGATGTCCTCATTAGGTTGGATATACTGTAACAGAAATCCTTAGATAATGAAAATCCATCTTCTTCAATGTTCAATGTTTCTACAAGTGTCCTTTAGATCATATGGTGGCCTTTCTATTTAAGTATGTTTACATATCACAGTTACAGTAAAATAAAGCATACATATGTACTCTTTCTCAAGTATATTCATGCATGTTGATTTTCTGATACCCATGAACCTATCACAATTTGTGTAGGAAGAAATGATGCAGTCCATATGCACCCTGTCAAATATTACCAACATTTTTACAATATAAAATCAAAATAGGAAACCATAAATAGACAAAGGCATGATTCAGATATTTGAAGTACTCTAATGCAAGTGACAATTATAATCTGGGGACATGTTCCTCAAAGGAAATAGAATCACAGAATGTTTTCCTGAATTACTGCAACAACATTAACTGCATAAAAACAGACTGGAAGGAAGTTGCATCCATTAGTCTACAATATTGTTGACAAACACATTATTGGTAGATAAAATGACTTCCATATAGTGTTTGTCAGATGTCAGTAGAAAGGATATATATTTCATAGTAAAATCAAAAATAATGGAGTCAGAAAGCTAAGAGGATACAGAAAAAAATCAATACTAACTCATTGGACAGCAAATCCTTTCACTCTGGGCAGACGTTAAATATAGAACTATTTATATTGGTGACTGATGTGTTGACACCATTTTTTCATACATAAATCATTTATTCTAGAAGAATTACAGTTGTGCTTGCTTCTAAATAGAATAAAATAGGAAAATATGAATATACAAAAAAAGATTCAACATACTTTTGTGAGGAGTTTGGTAATACCTTGATCTGAGTCTTTAATTTCAATCACTCTGTTCAAACCACATGGCTTATATCTGTAGGTCATCACTACTCTATTGTAGATGAAAAGCTCTTGAAGGCAGCAGATGGCACTATATAACCAGTTAAATGAAAAGATTTATCCTACGGGATTAAGCGCCCTTGTTTTTTGGGTAAAAATGCACCTTACCTGCCTTCATGTGATTTGTTTTCATCAACCTAAAAGTCATAACAATGTTTAATGGGCATGGCTTTCAGCTTTTTAATGGCTACTTGGCAGGAATTAGCATTAAAATGAATTTTAAACTGTCGGGGAAATTGAAAAATGATTAAAATATACAAAGTATAAGCATATGTTAAAAACCCAAATTTTCTACATGTAATAAAAAACTAAGAAATGAGCATTTTATGATATACTTTTATTTAGCTACTATTACACAAAATTCTATACCAGAATATGCTGGTATTATGGGTTTATTAATGAAATGGCATTAATAGCTAATGCCTTAAGGATTAAAACAAGTGCAACATACAAAGACATGTATATGATCCTGATGATGCAGCTGAATCACATAAAGAAAAAGAACTGATATAACAGGAGCATTATAGTATACTGTATACTTTAAACCTTATTCTATTATATGGGTAAGGAAATCTGTATTTTAGGCTGAATGTGAACGTGGATCCTCTGTAATATATAAGCAGTTACCATGCATTGAAAGGGAAATGCTTTTTGACGTGAGGCAGGCTCAAATAAATTTGTTAGCACCCTTTTATAATTAAGGCTTTCAGATGCCAAGAATACACATATACATATAGAACAGCATCATTCTCTATTGTGTTGTTGCTGTTTCACAGCATTTGAAGTATAAGTTCCACATTTTCACAATTCTTTCGATTTTAAGTACCAATAAAGGAGAATGTTCAGGGTTGAAATGATGAGTCCTTGCTCTCTGAGCTTGGTTGTTTTCTTGCAGACATTTCATTACCCAAACTGGATAGCACTTATGTTGTTACCAAGTTTGAGTAATGAAATGTCTGGAAAAAAACAACAACCAAGCTCAGAGAGCACCAAAGACCCCTCAATTTTAAGTACTGCATTCTCTCAGGACTCACTCTTCTGTATTTCTATTGAAAATAATGGAGTCACTGCATTTGTTAACTTTATTCAAACTACAAGCTTATTCAAGGTCACAAAATGATGTGGAAGAAAAAGAGATCATGCTACTTCTGGAGCACGAAAAAGCTACTTTGAGTATTTGGCCAACGATAAATCTTACAGACTTTGGAATGTAAACATGAAAAAGATAAATCCCTTTCTTGATCTCCTATTGCCTTTTGGGAAACTATGATAGGAATCCATATTATGAATCATAAAATCCTTAAAATTTCAAGATGTTTGTTGGTCCCACCCCCAAAAGAGTCTAAAGTTACATAGCACTATGATCAATTCTGCTACTGCTGCTAGGTTTCCATTGTTGAGTTTTTATTGACGCTAATTAAAATTCTACGGAAAGAAAAGCTGCATATTTCTCAGGAACTTGCCAGTGAATGTTGTCTGCCAGCCATCTCCAAACACCCTATAACCACGTACAACTAGCCTGTCAAGAGAGCTAATGCAGACATCGTGGGGCACATCACATTTGCCATTGTGGTTTATATCAGATATACTCAGCTGTTTTTTTCTCAACACACAAAAGCATGATATGTAATTCAATGCTCAATTTACCCCTGTCTCGTAGGAGATTTCCCCCCCTCCACTAATTGATAGAAATTAAGCCATTAATCAAGCCACTAGCCATCATTCAAACCAGAGAAGATGAATACAAACTTTCATCATAACCACCTTCCCCATTTTAGTGTTCATTAGCATTAATTTTTAATGTAATTATGCTATTCTTTTACACTGAGCTCATAAATTACTGCTCTTTTGTTGCTTGCTAGCCTTGTAAAATCCAAGGTAATGCTTTGTGCTATTCTTAAAGGCAATTACTAGCTACTTCTATCTTTTATATCTATATAATAAAAAACTTTATATAGTAAGTTCACCTAGCATAGATATGCTTATAAATATAATATATACACCATGCACCATTCTACTATTGATGTAGTGCTATCCTCCTCATAGCTTGTACTGTTGGTACTGTGGAAGGGAGTGTTGAGTGATCAGGCACTTTTTGATTACGTTGTGTGGGTATCCATTTTGTTGGAGGATATTGTAAAGATGGTCAGTTTCCTTTTTCTGATATTCTGGGTTATTGCACTCCATTGGTGCTCATCTGAATAACACAGTTTGCCTTGTGGAAATGAGATTTTTACTTTGGTAATGAAGAAGTTAATTAGTGTGAGTTGTTTTTAGAAAGCTATGAAAAGAATAACACTACCATACCTCAAAAACCTCTCAGAAACAAGCAACAGATTGTGTTACAAACACAGAGAGCTCTGCTTTTCTGTTCTACATAGTGACTGTTATGGCCACTACTCTGCATATAGATGCCTTTTTTCTTGAGCTATTAGGTCTTTTGGCTTACTTAATATGTTTTTGAGGGCTTTAATTGATTTCTGTGCTATCTGCCCAGCTTCTTGAGAAATACATTCTCAACTCTCATACAACTCTTCTCATAGCCACAGTTGCATCCGGCTTATTTAAGAATAGTTGCCAATGATAGTACCTCTATAGAAAGCAACACACCAACCTAAGATCTTAACAGAATAACAGAGTTGGAAGGAACCTTAAAGGTCTTCTAGTCCAACCCTCAGTTCAAGCAGGAATCCTATACCATTTCAGACAAATGGCTGTCCAATCTCTTCTTTAAAACCTCCTTCCTACTTTTTCCTTGGCTTTTTGGTCTGTGACTTCACTGGCTGACCAAACCTCTTTGGCATTTGGCTGTTGTGGACTGAACCTGTTTTGTTTGCCACTTACAGCTTGACTCTGGACAAAAATCTATTGCTTGTCTGTAATTTCTAGTGTGTGCATCTGCACAGCCAACTCTTTATCTGTCTTTGTAATTGACTGCAGGACTACTCAATGGCAAATCACCTGAAAACTGAACCAATGTGTTTCCTCAACCAGAAGCAGTGCAGTGACAG